AAAATCAGAAGGTTATCGTGCTATTCAGAATCAAAGAATCAAAGTTTATACAAAATACAGACAGAAGTGAAGAAAAAACGCAAAGCAGACAAGTAGCAGAAGGCCACACAATACCAGCCCAATGCTACTTATTAAAGCTCGTGTCTAGGGAGCACATAAGAGCATATAGCTGATGAAAAGCTTATGGGTGTGGAGGTTACACGATGGACGGAGGTTAGTGAGGTGAACTGTCTCGTTGCGCCGCTCAAACATCTGCATCTGCTTCCATTTTAATGCACAGAACATGATCTAAGTGCTGCTAAAGAGTGCACAGATGTCAAGAGGAGACACGCCTGGCTTCACCCTGCCGTCTCCCATTCATTCATAACACTGCTCCAGCTCTGACACAGCAAAAACTGCAGTCTGTAAGAGTTACTCAGCTTATAATATGAAACTTTATTTTAGCTATATTAACTCAAGAACTGTATTTAGATCCAGGTATTTATTTACTTTTTTTGTTTTATGCTAAATAACTTATGTCAACTTTTGGACATAGAACCTCATTTCCTAGTGAGCCAGAGTGTTGGAGACGTGTGGAGACACTTTTTTTCAATATTCCATCCAGTCCTTGCATTTGCAGAGGTCGCTGGTGCTAGGCTAGTGCATGTCAATGGCCATAGTTATCCTGCCACTAAAAACAGTCTTACCCACTCCACAAAACACCTGAAGCAAATCTATTATTACACCAGACTGTCAAAGTAAATGTCTGTGTTGTTAGAATAATGTTTGAAATAAAACTAACCTTGTGTCGCATGAATTGTCGCATGTTGAGGGACTATTTTCTCAGCAGCAGCGGAATTTTATTTTCCCGGTAAGATAACTGCTAGGTGATACAGGATATCTCCAGGTTTGACTACCCCAAATTTAAGACTTTTTAAGACCTTTTTAAGACCACTTAAATGAAAATTAAGACCAACATTGCACCCATTATGAAGGCAAAAAACACCAGATCCAGTTCTAATAGTGACCAACAAACTACTACCTCTAGAATCTAAGAGCCACTGTGGATTAAACCTACACTTCCCCATGATCCATCCAACGTCTTCCACTGTACTGATTGTTTACTCATTGCCATCAGTGCCAGAAACCAAAGTATTGTTTGTGCATGCTCCAAATTAGACGTTCATTCACGTTATGAAATTTCACATTGTTGTTTTTTTCCCTCCCTCTATTTAATATTGCATTGCAGCCCAGTTGAGTATAAAAAAAGGCTAATGAAATTTAAGACCTTTGTGGAAAAAAAAAAAGACTTGGACAACATAATCTAAGACTTTTGAAGGCCTTAATTTAGTTACATGGAATTTAAGACCTTTTTAAGACCCTGCAGCCACTGGCAAGCTTTCTATCAGGAAATAGAACTCGCTCCTGCTGCTCATACATAAATCCTTCAAATGCAAGGTTCATTTTGCTTCTAAAATTATAGACACAGACATTTACATCGACAGTCTGACGTTATACTAGATTTGCTTCAGGTGTTTTGTGGAGTGGGTAAGACTGTTTTTTAGTGGCAGGTTAACTATGGCCATTGACATGCACTAGTCTAGCACCAGCGACCTTTGCAAATACAAGAACTTGATGGAATATCTAAAAAAAAGTGTCTCCATCACTCAGGTTCACTAGGAAATGAGGTCCTATGTCCAAAATTCCAAACGGTCCCTTTAAAGATACACTATGCTGTTATTTTACTGGATGGTCTCCCACTGGCTGGTTTCCACAGAGGTGTTATACTTTGCATGACTTGTTCTACATTATTGGATGAAACATATGCACCGTGTCCATGAAGACAAGCGGATCTGTGGAGATGCGACTCAGGTCTCAGTAAGAATAACATACAGAATTTCTCAATATATTCAGAGGAAACCTACGCAGGCCTGGGAAGAAATGCAAATTCCACACAGAAAGACTCTATGCTGATCCCTGAATCAAACCCAGGACCTTCTCGCTGTGAGGTGAGAGCCCTAGCCACAGCTCCACTGTGCCGTTAATTAGTGGAACATTCCAGGCACAGCTATGGGGATCATCTGGACAAGCAGGTAGCAGACAATTAACATTTTACATTCACAGTTGACACCTTTAATTAGAGAAAATATTTTGAAACCAAAAATTTAAGACGATCGACGGTCATGAATTAAAGACATCTTGTACGTAGATGTAGATGATGACATGTCCCCTTTTGCTTTCATTCCCATCATTTCTTGTTGCAATTTACTCAGCGAGGCACAAAATGATCTAATTCCTTTTAATGCATACAATATTATTTCTCAAAGCAGTGGTACACGGTGAGTCCTGCTTCAAATCTTGGGTCTTTTTGAGAATCAATAACACATTATGATGTCTCTGCCTTCTCCCGTCACGCTAACTGCCACCGCTACAAACAAGCTCTCCTCCAGACGCTCATTATTCTGACCAAACTATGCTCACAAACATAAAAGTACAATTTAAAAAAAAGAAAAAAAAAACCTCTACAGCTCAGAATGTCCTTATCTGATGCTTTTAACAAAAACTTTCCACGGTATGAACGGTGGTATCACTTTCCAACGTTTTTTTCCAAAAGAAACTGATTTTCGGAAGGTACTTGATAGCAATGTGAAGTCTTAACAAACCTTTTATGAATCGACAGGTTTCAAAATAAGAAAAATTGGCTCTATTAGCGTGACAGTGAAAGCTGCACTGCAAAGGTTTTATCGTGGTTTGTCTGCTACGTACTTGTCACCATGGAAATGTTAATGCTTTGCCTGGAATATTTCATGGTATGACATTAAACATATATATTTAGCGTTTATTCATTGCTCAAAAATACAATCTGTGAATAGTGGCGAGTCTCCACAGATCTGAATTGTAATGTGATCTGCTAACTGTCTATCAACTATCTTCATGTATCATAGAATAGTTATATCCTTATTTAAATGTGTTAATATCCAAATATTTTCTACATGAGCTTTTCTGACCAGATCAAATAGGAATGCAAGTATCTACAATTTGTATACTCACTTTGATTTCTCACTTTGTTTGGTCTACTAAAAGCAACGCAATCTGAACCTGGCATTGCCTCCTGACTAAACACCTGCTTAAATGCCCTTGTCACTTCACTTTTAGTGCAAATTAATATAATTCCCCACACAACAACACCACCATCACATCAACACTATTGCTTACCCAAGTCCATAACTCTTGGATCTCTTTCACAGCAATGCGGCACCTTAGCCTTTTAAAAGCTCCTTTAGCACACAATCAATAGTCCCTGTGCCAACGCCAATAATACACATGAGAGGCGTACAAGTCTTGCCTTTCTCACAAGTGCTGTCCCAGTAGCCAGTCTCTGTAGTCACACACACGAGATAGACACTTTAGAAATAACATTAACTCATGAATTTGATCCAGAGTCATTAGATCCATTTTTTGGTTTGTTTCATTTTAAATAAACTGTCCATAAAAGTAATTAATAGGTATGTAATGATATCCAAATGTCTCGGTACGTTATTATCACCATATGCATAAAAAACATGTTTCTTTATGTTGTCTGCACTGAAATGAATGTTGGGATATGTAGTTACCTATGTTTATAAGCTATTACTGTAAAACAATGCATTTAAGCTTGTAAGAACTTGTAATTCGATATATTGTGACAGTCCACGATATTAATGTGAGAATTTTGACAAAACAATATCATGATATTTCAGTTATTGTTACATCCTTAATAACTAAATATGTAACTTTTGTATTGGATGATCAGCCACATGCTTGTTGTCATGGAGATGCAACCTGAACCTCCTGATGAAACACCTGCTTGTCACGTCACTTGTGGTGCAGACTGAGGCCCAAAACACACTGCATGCATCAGCATTTGAGTGCATAGCCTCGCGAAACCACATCTGTGCATCATGGCAAGGATGTCCACACCTGCAGCTCCAGCAGGATGTCTACACGCTCTGTGTTTCTCCGTGGGAACGCAGATCAGACTTGACCGAGCCCATTAAGCCACTTGTAACAGGTTTACAGTGAAACTAACCAGCTTAATTAAAGGATTGTATTTACCCTATATACAGGCTGACCACAGCAAATGCAATGATTTCCAAAGTAAGGCTACGTTTATATGATGACGTGTAGACGCATGTCTATATTGTGTAGACACATGTTTTTGGGAGGAAATCTGCTTGCATATGGTGCAGCAAAAGTGTGTGGTATTCGAATGGGTATGCGTGTAGCAACAAGGGCATCTTTGGACATACGGAAGTTTTCAAGCCACACATTTTCATCATCTACTCCTTCCACAAAGTCAACCATCGACTGGTTCTAGCAGGTCTCGTCCATATCCGTCGGGCTCACCTGCGATGAACTGGTGCATCCAGAATTTGGCAGAGGTGACTGCAGATCCTGCTCTGTTCACTAATAGAATCTCTGCATATTCTGTACATTTGTTGGGAGCCTCCTGTAAGTTTATTAAACCTGCCAGAGCAGCTTGAAGGTCTGGCACATGGAAATGATCTGACATGTTTGTTTCTGTGTACTGTATGTATGTGACATAAACGTGTACGTGACGTGAGCAGATCTGACCAGAGTTTTGCGTCTTGGCCAGTGTAGACGGAAAGGCTGTGGCGGAGAATATTCAACTTTTTTCCTATGGAGTGTGGTGGAGATTTTTTTTTAAGCCCGTAAGTCACCGTCTAAACGAAAGCCACTTCCGAAAAAATATTTTGTCATACCCACAAGCGTTCTTGTGTAAACAGGCCCTAAATTTCAAATCACAAACAGACATTCTTTGAAGCATAACTGCCTCAGGAACACACTGTGCTGATGGGAAATACACAAAAACAACAAAGCTGCATGTGGTCATCTTTCTCCACAAATCCCATGCATGAACATTCAGCCAATAAAGACACGACGACAGCAAACCAAATATGAACAGCACCACCAGCAGATCAACACTATCGATTAACCAAGTCCATAATCAGAAGTCTTACCTTTCTCACAAGTGCTGTCCCAGTAGCCGGTCCCGGTGCAGTCACACACGTAGCGATTCCAGCCTTCTTTACACTGTCCGTTGTTCTTGCATGGGTTACTATCGCACAGTTTTCCGCTCACTTTGGTGCAGGTAGGTTTGATTCCCGTCACGTTCTGCGATTGGGCGATCTGGCGGATGTCCTTGCTGCGTCCGTCGATGAACAGATCTCGGATGCAGCCCACGTAGCCGTAGTTGAGCATGGCGGTCCACAGTTCGGTCGGGAGTACCAGGCCCACGCGGTTATCGGGTAAACCGCCCAGATAGAGATCTCCCTCCAGGTCCAGGATCTCGTTCTCCCCCGAGGCGGTGAAGGGCGTGCGTCGGCTGTTTACAGAAATAATGCCTGGGAGAAGCAGAGGACATGTTTAAATGTCAGGGGTATTATACAAGAGATTATCATAAAACAGATCACCCGTAGGAGCAGGCTGTGATCTTGATGGTTACACTCAAAGTCATAGTCATTGCTTCTACAAGTATTAGTTTAATTCTTGCTTAAAATGACATTCATACCATACTCCATACCATACTACAGCTGTGGCTACAATAGTTTTTTACCAATAATGCACAATATTGTAAACATAATTTGAGTGTAACAAACTTTAAGACCAACTTTTATCCTCTGGCTTTTGGCACAGAGTGAGTTGTGCGCTCCTCTGTGTATTTTGTACCATTTAATTGTCAGCTTTTATTGTTTTATATTTTTTTGAGTGCTTTTTATTGTTTTTTAATTATTATTTATTGTGGTTCTTATTTGGTTTAAATGTTGTGTATTTTCTTAATAACCACTTGGAGTGTAATAGAGAAAGATAATGTTATTTTATGTGCTAAAATAAATATAAATAAAATAGATGTGGTTTTATTCGTCCCACTAGAACATTTCGGTGTTTCAATATAAAGAACAAGAACAGCAGCCAAAAAAAAAACAAAAAAAAAAAAAAAAAAGGATATTATTGCCTTAACCTCGTAATGTACTCAAAGCTGCTCAAAGCAATAGGCTCTATGCAAGATAAAGATTTGAAATTGGGCAAAAAGATTATACTTCTCTACTATACTATACTATACTGTTATATTGTTGACAGAATACTTTTCTCCAAGGAAATTTTATTGCTTTGTCTGGAATGTTTCACAGTGTATTAAATCTTTCTGTTGTCATGGAGACCAAACCAGACCAAGTTACAGGTCAGATCAGTGAAGAGGCGACCCCTCTCACGGTCAGAATGCCTGTTTCTTTCTAGGTATGTTAGAGCTATAAAATCAACTGTAAATTGAATAAATCTAAGGTAGAGCTGTTTCATGTCATACTGTGGAACATTCCAAGCAGAGAAATGACATATCCATACATTCATACATACACTACCTGTCAAAAGTTTTAAAACACCCTATTTTTTCTAGTTATTAATTGCAATTCAACTCCTGGAAGTCCAATGAAGAGCTTGAAATGGTACAAAATTAAGTACTTGAACAGCCAGAGGTTAAAAAAAAGATAAAAGATAACAAAACACAAGTCCAAGCTCTGCCAAAACTACCTCAGGAAAAAAGAACAAGATGGTGAGCTTGAAAACATGGAGTGGCCAGCACATTCTCCAGACTTCAACCCATCCAGCTGGTTTGAGATGAAGTGGACAGAAGAGTAAAAGCCAAGCGGCCTACAAGTGCCACGTACTTCTACAACATACTTGGAAAGAACTTTGTGAAGAATATTTGATTTCTATTGTAGAAAGAACAAGCCACGAGTGTGTTCAGCTGTGATATCTGCCAAAGGTGGACACTTTCATGAATCAAAAGTTTAGAATACATTATGGTCAACAATAAACTACGGAAGCCAAGTGGGGTCACAACAAACGCAAACACCGCAACAAATACAAATGCGACAACACAACAAAAAGCCACAACACACCAAAAAGCCACAACAGAAGTGACCGCGGGACTCTATTTTCCAACGGACCAATCAAGCAGCAAGTGAAGAAGAACTACAACGTGAAAAGTAAAGGAACGGAGAAGTTGGAAACGTAAGTAAAAGTAATTTATTGTTTTATCATTATTCGTTTCACGTAGTTCTTCTTCTTCACTTGCCGCTTGATCGGTCCGTCAGAAAATAGAGTCCCACTGTCACTTCTGTTGTGGCTTTTTGATGTGTTGTGGCTTTTTAATGTGTTGTGGCTTTTTAATGTGTTGCGGCATTGGTGTTTGTGTTGTGGCGTTTGTATTTGTTGCGGCGTTTACATTAAAATAGAGTCCCGCGGTCATTTCCGTTGTGGCTTTTTTTTTTGGTGTGTTGTGGCTTTTTGTTGTGTTGTCGCATTTGTATTTGTTGCGGCATTTGCGTTTGTTGTGACCCCTCTCGGCTTCCGTATTTCTTTTTCTGTAAAGCACTTTGATTTTCTTTGTGTACGAACTGTGCTACCCAAATAAACTTGCCTTGCCACAATACAAACGACTATGACAATGGTTATGTGCAGCCAAACTAACATATTTTTGGCCATACATTACCCAGACTCAGACTCTCCACCTTTAACTGTTCACCTGCGTCTTTGCCTGGAGGGGGAAGATTCTTTTATTGTCACATACTTTATTGCTAAGTCTTTCAGATCTGCACTTTGGTTTGTATCTGGTGGCAAAAATTTCATTTTCTAACATTCCCGTGCGAAGTGACAGAATCCAAAATTAAACCGTAGCCCGTTTTGTAATCCATGTTGACGTCTTGTTTATGGAAAGACAACATTGCTCTTAATAATGTGGGTGTGTAACAGAATTAGACTGTGACATTTCTCTCTGCAGCGTCACAGAAAGCGCTACAGTTTGAGCTCATATTGTTTGTGTAAAAGGTGAGGACGCTGGTGAAATGCATTACAATGACAAATGCGTTATGGTCATTTCCTATTGTTTCACAGTAGAAGCCATTAGCAGGGCATTATAAAAGAGTCAGACGGGATAAGCCCTCATGTATTGTCTCCAAAATAATTATGTTTTATGGAAAGCCCAATCAAGCCTCCTTTGTGTTCATTTTGGTTGATTATGTTTCCCATTAGAGAGATATTTTCAGCAACTTTTCTGTTTATTCAAGCATTTAAGTGATAATAACATGCATTTGCACAAACTAATTTAGAAATGAATTCATATTTTTATGGGTGGTTTTAATCTGATTCTAATTGAGACAAAGATGGCAACAAAGATGGCCACTTGTTATACAACAGATGGCTAATTTAATGAAATATCCTGTATAGCATTATTATTTAACATTTATTTTAGCTGAAAAACAAAAATACATTACCATTAACACTTAAAAATTGTATTGTACCTTATACATCTAAATAAAAATGTAAAATAATTTGCAGAGAACCACGTTACGCTATTTTCTCATTTTTGTTATCATGTTTCTTCACCACAAACATACCAGGAGTTTTGTTTTGTTTCATTCACACATGTTTAACACATAAACCCTGCATATTTTGGCATTCAGTTCCACCTTGTGATGTCATGTGGTAATACAGGAAGTGCTCTACTGTGTTTTTAAACTCCATTTACTTTCACTAGAATCATTTGGATGATTTCAGTCCATGTATCATTCGTTCATTTGTTTTTCAATATAAAACCAAAAAATAAGAAAACAAAAAAATTTGTTTTCTTCATTATTTATCTCCAAACCCAAAATGGAAAAATGGAAAACAATTTTTGTGTTTAAATGAATAATGGAAAAAAAAAAAAAAAAAAAAAAAGGATTACAGCAGTTTCCCGTTTCTGTGACTTAAACTGCAATGCCGGACTTTTGCGCGGCATATGGACTGAACCAGGACTCAACCAGGACTGAAAAAAGACTAAATCAGAACTAAACCGGTCTCAGTCCTGGTCTCAGTCATGGTCTTAGTCCTGGTCCCACTCTGGTCCCGGTCTGGTCCCGGTTTCAATCCTGATCACCTGACAGTCTAAGCGGGCGCACGTCCAGTCCCGGCCCAACACTCCTGGTTCAGTCCTGTTTTAGTTCTGGTTCAGTCCTGGTTCAGTCCATATACGGCGCAAAAGTCTGGCATCGCAGGAAACAGGAAATGGCCGTAATCCATTTTTTTCCCATTATTCATTTAAACACAAAATCGAAAACTGAAAAAAATGAATCGTTATCTGTTTTTCCATTTTGGATTTGGAGACAAATAATGAAGAAAACAGTTATTTTTTGGATGAATGATATATGGATTGATTTCAGCCCGTAAATTTCTGATCTCTGCTGAACTAAAAGTAAAAGGTAGCTTTTAATTTGAAAACCATTGCTTCATTACATCACAAGGTGGAACAGAGTGTTTTCAGAATGAGAGAAAAAAATCTGCCTAAACATGCAGATTGTGTGTTAAACGTGTGGCTGAAAGAAAACACAAATCAACAAAGTATGTTTCTGATGAGGAAACAACATACAACATACATAACAGATCAGAAAATAGCGTAATATGGGCCCTTTTACCTCACTAAGTACTCCACCCAGACAAAAAATTGCGTTCACTTTCATCTCCCATTAACATTTCACTAATATACCTGTTCTTAACCGTCTTGCCATCTGCTATCCTCATATCTGTCTCATTCCTTTTTTCCCTTTGAAAATCCAACTCCCCTTCTCCACTATCACACCGGGGGCCGCGCCGGTGATTAATCAAAACCCCGCGCACTGACACACGGTTAAATTGGCTGCTCTAACCTGATATATAACGCAGACATGGCGCCCCCACCAACTCTCACTTTCCTCGGAGGATAGGAGCTAATGCCGAGATTGCGCTGGTTTCGGTGCTCCAGGCAACACAAGTTTCTAACCCTTATTCTCTAATAGAATCTGGGTCTGGTACTTGGGCTGTGTTTTGGGGTCATTGGACATACACGGGGGGAGATAGGAGTTTGTATCTCTATAAAGCGTAATATGAGTTTGTGCAAGTCGTAGATCATGTCTGGAGTGAATGTATTGAAGATGCCCAAAGCTGCAGTCTGGATACAAACAATTACATGATTATTGGCTCAGGTTTTGGCCCAATTTAAGTTCGTTTTAAGATACAGTGTTTTCAGCCTAGTTTGGACTTTTTTTTTTTTTTTTTTAAATTTGTTGAGATTTCTGGGATACAAAATACAATTCTTATTTGGTGGAGGTGTAGTCCATGTGCATATGTATACAGGGAACTTATCCATCTGTGATTTGAACTACTCTATATCAGGGGACAGTTAATACAAATATATTCCGTAAAAACACCCATTTGATTTTATCATTATTATTACAAGAAAAATGTTTTGTGTACATTGTATTTTACACTACAACTCAACGATGCTTTTCATTAAATTAAATGTTCAAAAGGTGGACAAATATTAGTAATTTTTGTCAGTAAAAACACATCAGTCTAATTCATTACCCTAAATCTGGCTACATGTGAATATATCCTCAAATCTGTTGAATGTTATTGTTTCTTACAAAATAACGTACCAGTTTTTCTGTACGCACAGTCCAGTTTTTTGCTGTTCCGATACCGATGTTGATACTTTGGCTTTAAGTATCTGCCAATACCCGATACGTATTAACCGATACCAGAGCAGAAACTGAAAATATAATTGGTTCCCTTTAAACACAAACAACATAAGATAAAAAATATATAAACACTATTGGTCAAAAGTTTTTTTACTGTTTACTCTTTACTGTTGACCAAAACGTATTCTAAACTTTTGATTCATGAAAGTATATAACAGTATATAACAAAGATATAACAGCTGAACACACTCGTAGCATTCTTTCTGCAATAGAAATTAAACATTCTTCAGAAAGTTCTTCCCAAGTCTGTTGCAGAAGTTTCCATAAATGTGTGGCACTTGTAGGTTGCTTGGCTTTTACTTTTCTGGCCAGTTCATCCCAAACCAGCTCGACGGGGTTTAAGTCTGGAGACTGTGCTGGACACTTCATGTTTTCAAGTTTACCGTCTTGTTCTTTTTTCCTGAGGCAGAACTTTCCTTTTGGCAGAACTTGGACTTGTGTTTTGTTATCATTTACCTTTTTTAACCTCTGGCTGTACAGGACTTACCTTTGTACCATTTCAAGCTATTTGTTGGACTTGCATGAGTTGAATTGCAATAAATAACCAAAAAAAATAAAAAAATAAATAAAAAAAGGGGTGTTCTAAAACGTTTGACTGGTAGTGTGTATATTCAAATGAGTTTTGTAACTGTACTATTATGAGATGTTTTGGAACATCACTGTCTTGTAAATCATCTTATTACACCAATGTATAGACTAAAATGACTGAATCAGATATCCGATACACAAAAATGTCAATATTACCAGTATTATATCAAGCCATGCCTGCCTATTTTGATTTAAAAATGCACCTTTTACAATACAGTGCACAGTATAAATCAAAATTACAATCCAAAATTATTCTCAAACTGACTGTTCAAAAGTCAAACGGGTGCATATCAGACTGATTCATAAACCACTTTTACAGCTCTACATTGCTTCATAAAGTGTAATTTCTATTTCAAATATATAAGCACATTCAGCAGACACTTCCAATACGTGATGCTGGTAGTAAGTTGTATTTATAATTAATCTCACATAAAGGATTTCTAAAGGATTCTGCCCTGTCAGCTTTCTGCTTTCTGACTACATGAATGTGCAATGGCTCAAGGGGACATGTTTTGAATTGAAGCAGGACTTGTACTTTGTGATATAAGTCATATGGCAGTATATTTGTGGATATGTAGGAAAAATAAAAATGAACGACAGCTTTGTGCCTCCCCCGAACACCAGAGGGCAGCGCTATAAATGAAGTGTGAGAAAAAAGCCATAAATCTAACTCTGAGTCCACGACCTGATACAAGACTCGAATAACCAAGTGACCTCCAATATAAAACTGTGAATTTGGTTTCTTTGCTGACAATAAATGATGAGAAATGCTAATGACACTATCGATTTTTGTGTTAAATTTCACACCAATTGCGAGAAACATTGCGAATCATTGTCGCTGATGGAGTTACAGTCAGACAGTTATAGAAGAATGACGTACTGTTATCTGGGATCAAAATAGTTCAAAATGGGCAGATACATGAAAGGTAGCTGTTAACTTGAAAACTACAGCTTCATGACATCACAAGGTTGAATAGAGTTTTTTGAGCTTTGGAGATGTAGACAGACATCAATAATGCAGGTTTACAAGTTACAGGTATGTTTTTCAGGAGGTAAAAACATTATAACATGGATATTAGCTCATAAAAGTCAATTTTGCGAAATGCAGAACCTTTAAATAATCCTCTAAAGTGCAGGTTTCATAACAAGGTCTCATATATATATATATATATATATATATTAGTGCTGTCATGCGATTAAAAAAATTTAGAGATTAATTAATTATGATCTGTAATTAATTAATCTAATTAATCTCATTTTAATCTCACCTAAAAATTGCTGAGAAAAGCTTCAATTTGAGGTATTTTCATTTAAATTCATTATTACATTATTGTGGCAGATCAAAAGACTGATATAGATTTAAAAAAGTGACTTTATAAAGTCATTTATTGTTTAACAAATCTCTCCAAATTGCCTGTTGAGCCCAAGTCTCCATGAATAAGAAACTGTTTGCTGTAAAGTAGCAAAGACGAGGAAATCTGAACATAATAACTTTTGTCTACTTAAAGACAATAAAAAGTCCAGTCTTTCCTTAACCATATTAAAAATATTATTGATAGAGAAATGCTTTATATATGAGATCACTGGTTTTAGTCCTGGTGTTAGTTGTGGTTTAGTCCTGGTTTAGACCTGGTTTAGTCCTGGTGTTAGTTCTGGTTTAGTCCTGGTTTAGTCCTGGTTTAGACCTGGTTTTAGTTCTGGTTTTGGTTCTGGTTTTAGTTCTGGTTTTAGTTCTGGTTTAGTCCTGGTTTAGTCTGGACTGGATTAGTCCTGGTTTTAGTCTTGGTGTTAGTTCTGGTTTAGAGGCGCACAGGAGGAAGCGCGGTTTACGTCGCGTACGCGAGAAAACACGATCCACACGCGGCTCACGGGAGCTCGTTGGTGTCCGCGCAGTAACTACGGAAGGAAACGTGGTCCGTGCGTTCTCAGGTTAATGACGATGATGAAGGTGTGTGTTTGTTTGTGTGTGTGTGTGTTTGTGTGGCTTTCCGGCAATGAGTGGAATTACCGAAATAAAAAAATGTATAAATGTGTTTTGTGTGTGTGTGTGTGTGTGTGTGTGTTGTTGTCCTAACAACACATAAAAACAGGTTTTATAATAAAGAAACTCACATACAGAAACACTAAAGTTAGAGATTAAAAATGAGATTAACGCGATTAAAAAACATAACGCGCTAAATATGACTGTAATTAATTAATCGCAATTAACGCGATAATTTGACACCCCTTATATATATATATATATATATATATATATATATATATATATATATATATATATATATATATATATATACATATATTTTTTTTTTTAAAGAAAAAAAAAAAGAATAAATTACTTTCATAATTTAGCTAATATCAAAAAGGAAAATCCACAAAAGTGAATCTTTATGTAGGGATGTACCGATACCACTTAAACTTTTCAGAGATCTTACGTGTGCACGCCGTATGTGTGCAGCACAGCTCTTTGTCAGTCACTTCACTCATGTACAGTCACTTTATTTATCCCAGTTTCTCAGAACCAGGATACTGGCTTATTTGGGATACTGAAACCAGGATACTGAGTAATGTGTCATGTAATAATGGTATCGGTGCATGGTATCAACAAATGTTTAACAAGTACAAGTACGGGGATATTAAAGAAGTATCAGGCCGATACCTCATACCAGTATCGATATCGGTGCATCCTAGCTTTAATGTTAATAATTAATATTAATTTTGTTTGAGAGAAGAACACAGTCTGAATATGCAGGGTTTGTGTGTTAAACATGTGTGAATGAACCAAAACACAACTCCAGGTCTGTTTGTGATAAGGAAACAACACCATAACACAGATCAAAAAATAGTGTAATTTGAGCCCTTTAAGTATTCTAAACCTTAAAATACTGCTATATCAATAAATTCTACATCCCCTCACCTGATCTCCCGTCTCTCTGGATGTCCACGTGGTGCCAGTTCCCATCGTTGACCTTGGCCTGCGTCGCTTTGACTTTGATCGTCCCAGAGCCCATGTCCAGCAGCAGATACAGCCCTCCATCCAGCAACTCTACGGCGAAGAAGTCCACCTTTGTATTCTTCTGTCCCTTGGCGTCCCTTCTGTCCTGAGCCTTTCCCTGGGTGAAGAGGATGAGTCCGTTGGGTTCGGAGGTACGAAAGTCAAAGGAGATGGAGCCCACTCTTTTGGTGTTCCACTTGGGAAGAGACAGTGCGGATTCTGGGCTCTCGAAGCTGATGGGGTCCAGGGTGGGCACGTTCTCACACTTGAAGACGATGTCCCCCTGAAGTTTCATTTTGGGGTCCACGATGCGAGCCAGGCGAGACAGTTCCAGGCGGATGTCATTGTTCTTGTACACCACCTGGACAGAAATAGAGTGAAGAAAAAGGTAAATAAGGAAAAGATGGTTTAAATGTAGAGCTTATATGCTTTGTTTGCTCAAAGGTGCACAGTGTCACTTTTTTTAAACTTTACATTCATTAAATTACAGTTTTTTATAGCTCAAAAATCCCTAGAAAAAACAAAAAAGGTATTCTGACTGTGAGCAGGGTTGCCTCTCTAGTCAGGTCTTTGGAATTTAATAATGGCACCACTTTCTGAGGCTACTGTCAAAAAATTATTAGACTTTTTTTTTTTTTTTTTTTTTACTGACTTATAATAGAAATGGCCCTTGAGAGGTACCATTTCTTTCGCAAGGGGGTTCCAAACACACTAGCACAGAAATTCTTACAACTCAACTGCTCCAAATCTGAAATCATTTTAATCAATCCTCCCCAATCCACCTCCAATATCAGCAATAGTCTCAGCCCTCTCGCTTCACACATCACCCCTGCTGCCAGAAACCTCAGTGTCATTTTTGACTCTCACCTCAACTTCCACCTTCACATAAAAAAGTCACCCAATCCTGTTTTCTTCACCTCCACAAAATTTGCAAAATCAAAACTATCCTCTCCTGCCATGATCTTGAAAAAGTCATCCACGCTCTCATCTTCTTCCGTCTAGACTATTGCAACTCCCTCCTCTCCGGCCTTGACTCTAAATCCATCTCCTGCCTCCAAATGTTTCAGAACAGACATCAACACATGACCCCTATTTTACTTCCCTTCACTTACTGCCCATGTGTTTTAGACTTGATTTTAAGATTTTACTGATCACTCAGAGCCCTCCCACAGCCTTAGACCCTTCCTTTAACTGATGACTTTTAAAACTCATTTAGGTCTTGCACCAAGTTACATTTCAGAACTTTTAACTCCATACGAGCCCTTCACAGCCTCCTCAGGCAGGTCCTTGTTCTCTGTTCCAAAGTACAGTCTCCGGATGAAGGTGATCAAGCCTTTTCAGTCCGGGTGCCTTGGCTTTGGAATGACCTGCCTGAGGAGATAAGGCTCGCTCCATCAGTTTCATCTTTTAAATTACTTCTTAAGAATCATTTTTATCAGTTGACCTTCCTTTAACTGATGACTTTTAAAGCTCGTTTATGGCTTGCACTAAGTTACATTTCAGAAATTTTAACCCCGAACTTCAGAGTCCTCCTGCAGCCTTAGATCCTCAGGCAGGTCATGTTCGCTGTTCCAAAGTCCAGGCACTGGACGAAGGGTGATCGAGCCTTTTCAGTCCAGGCTCCTCGCTTTTAGAATGACCTGCCTGAGGAGATAAGGCTCGCACCATCAGTTTCATCTTTTAAATCACTTCTTAAGGCTCATTTTTATTGGTTGACCTTCCTTTAACTGATGACTTTTAAAGCTCGTTTAGGTCTTGCACCAAGTTACATTTCAAAACTTTTAATTCCATATGTGACAGCCTGCAGCCTTAGATCCTCAGGCAGATCCCTGTTTACCTTCGTCCGGTGCCTGGACTTTGGAACAGCGATCAAGCCTTTTCAGTCTGGGCGTTTTGGCTTTGGAATGACCTGCCTGAGGAGATAAGGCTTACACCATCAATTTCATCTTTTAAATCACTTCTTAAGACTCATTTTTATCGTCTGGCCTTCCTTTAAGATTTATTATTATTATAATGTAGTCCTAACCAAGACTAGCTCAAGATCTGGAGTTGGGTTCCTAGGCACAAATTCTCTCATTGACACTGAAGGATGGGTCAAATGCAGAGGATAAACTACCCTATACGGACAGTAAAGGATACTGCTGTACCGTACACAATCAGGATAGTACATAATATTCTAACTGAAAGTAGTCCACTCAAACAAACCACAACAATAAGCACAAAAGCACGAGCGCACATCCACAAAATAAGAATAATTGCTGGATTGCATCAATATGAAAGTGAACTTGGCGTATTAGGGTCGTGCTGCTCCTGAAAACCCCAAGTGGTCATTTGATGAATACACTGCTTCATTACAAAATGTGATATGATGGCTCTATAAATGATGAAAGCGCATTGCCAATTCAAAGCAAGATCAATAAAACTAATATATTTTCTGGTGCGTGTGTGTGTGGAGCGTGTATAGAGCCTGTGAGGAGCCATTTGTTTCTCGCTTATTTTCAACATCAACTTCAATTTATCCGTGATGAAAGAACGGTCCACCTCTACATTTCTGTTCGATTGAGTGCGCGCTGAGTTAAGGCAGTGGTACAAGAGATGGCTGAATTAGAAGAAAGACATTTTGTGTAGAGTTGGAAATCCCACAGAGTAGTTCTGACCCACAGAGAATAGATCCAATAACACAGATATTTACCAACTGTACATTCACCGTCTTTCTGTTTTTGAGTTGAAAGCCCACAGCCTGTACAATCATGTCTATAGCAGAACACTGTCCATTGAAAACCATTGAGGCTGAAAATTAATGTCTTTTCTTCGTAGTACTGAGTTGTGTGCGTTGTGTGTCAGTGTACGTCTGTGTTGTTTGAAAAGGCACATCTGCTGTCTGCACACAGATTTCACTGCTTTTGGGATTACAGATAATCCGAGCAGATTTGACGGGAAATCAACACAGGTGACCACGGAGCTGAGGAGACCCCGACAAGAGGAGCGAGAGCAGAGAGAGGGAGAGGTGGGGATAAAGGGCAGCCGTAAAGTAGTGGAAAAAATATGTCAGGAGGCAAAAAGGTAGGTTAAAAGTTCACTGCACAATTTATCTGGTGGACGGATACGCCACCTGCTAGACTCCATGTTTGTTTGGTCTAGAATGTTCCACAGTTTGGCATTAAAACGATGTAATGCCGTGGGGATAAGCTTGTAGTACTTCAGGTCAGACCTGTGGAGAGGTAATCCTGCTCACAGTTAGTATGGTTTACAAGGTATTGTTTGAGCAATAAACTATCTGTAATATAATATAAATGCAAGATAGATATGTTTAATGCCATACTGTGGAATATCCCTGGCAAAAAAGAAAAAAAAAAAAAAACACTCTCCAGCAGAAAGGTTACACACAGAGCTTTTAAATTTGCAGCTGTTGACACTTTTAACCAAGTTATTTTCACTCTAGTATACAACACAAGGAAATTGTACCGTATTTTTCAGACTATAAGGCGCACTTAAAATCCTTAATTTTCTCAAAAATCGACAGTGCTCCGGTCCGCCTTGTATATTAATTCTTGTCATGTGTACTGACCTCGAAGTGATTTTATGTGGTACATGGCGCTCAAAAATCTGTCAAATTGTTTTAGTACGACTTTGGTAAGCTGCACCGCTTGATGGAGCATTACGTAGTCAGGAGCCTCGCAGAGTCCAACAGAGGCTGACCCTATCAGCGCACAAAGAGCGAGCTGTTTTTTCAGTGCTTATAGTTTATGCAAATGAGCCATGTGGTTTTAAGTTTCATTTCTGAAACGTAAACAAATGTGCGCAAATCTGCATTAAACACATTATTACTCAATGCATATTTGAGTCCTCCTCGTAGGAAATAAAAAATAAACTTAAATTATCCACCCACATTCACATTCATAATACACATTCACCAAGACAGGGAGGCAACACCGGGCGAATTACGCCACGATCTGCCAATGGATCGTGACTCAAGTGTTGTCTGTTTGTTTTGCTTAATGCGCCTTATAATCTGGTGCACCTTGTGTATGAAAATAGACGAGACAATTAAGAATTATTGATATTGCACCTTACAATCCGTTGTGCATTATAGTCCAAAAAATATGGTACTTTATTTACCCACAAACACCTCCTTAGCTTACATGGACTGCAATATAGTTGAATTAAGAAAGTAGAGTTAGAATATAGCATTAGTGATTGGATTTTTGGCTCTTTTATGGGGTCCAGATCTTTTAAAGCTCTTTATTCCAAAGAGCTGTTCACAAGACTGGCTATTTTAATATGTTTTGATATGACAGAAGGCAGAGTAGTCAAGCTAATCACAGAGATATGACCAAGGCCCCAATTTATTTTAAAATGGTTCAGACTGAGAGTGGGAGTGTGCGTGCCCATTGAAATGATGCATAATTTCAATAAAACACTGCGCTATAATAATACTAATTAAAAGTGTCATGATGATGCCAAATATGTTTTTTGCACACTTCTGCTTCTGTGCTGATTCTTGTGTAAGTTCAATCTAAATTGGTAAACAAATGTAGAAAAATTAGAAAGTGAGATCCGGTACCAACCATTCATATTAAACGTGCATTGTGTAACTTTTCTGGAGTGGAGTGTCCATCACCTGTTCGTTTCCATGGATATGTCATTGCTCTGCTTTGAATGTTCCACAATATGACATTAAACAGCACTACCTTACATTTATTCAATAACAGGGGGTTTTATGGTTTAAAAATACTTAAAACAGACATTCTGACTGTGGATGGGGTTGCCTCTCCACAGATCTGACCTGTAATTCGGTCTGGTTTGTCTCCATGAAGATAGAAAGGTGTAATGCCATACTGTGAAACATTCCAGACAAATAAATAACACTTCCACAGAGAAAAACATTTGACGAACCCTCTACCACACGATGCACCTTTAAGGAACCGTTCAAAAGAGCAGACTCATGCACAAACGTCACATCCCCAGTGCACATAGTCATTGCAGTAGAAGAAGAAAACTCTGTAGTGGTGCTTCCAAAATAGTTGGACAGATTTCAGGAAAAATAAACAACACGATGTACAAGACTGGGCAGAGCACTTGACCACGGGCTTCAATAAAGTGAGCTGTGAAAAGCAATCCTGCACTTGTTAGAACTGCCATAGTGGAGTCAACTGTGCTCTACTCCCTCTGGCTTAAATGATCAACTCTCTTTTCTTTGTGTTATTACAAGCATGAAACATTAAAGGTGCATTGTGTAACTTTCCCGGCGGAGGGTCCATCAAACGCTTTTCTCCGTGGACATGTCGTTGCTTTGTCTGGGATGTTTCAGACATTTCAGACACCTTTCTTGGTATTAAATGATCTTAAACCTTTCTTCAC